AAATGTTTATTAAAAAATTTAAGTATTCCGAAAGTACGGATATTTAAGTGTTCCGAACAGAAAAACTCAGACTGTTGATAAAAGCTCTGCACAGTATGCAAAATTTAAATTTATTTATTTAAGCTTAATAATGTATTCAAATAAACTATAAAAAAACGCATGCCGTTTTTATTTTCATATAAATTTAGTTTAAAATTTACGGGGGACATAAATGTTTCAACTTCCCTTACGTTAAACCTCAACTGTTTAAATAATCCAATTAGAAGGAAAACAAATATTGACATGTTTAAAATCAAGAACAGGGATAAACCAACTCATTTCTATAATGATTTGTTGATTTAAAAAAACACACAATGATTTGTCGATTAAAAGAAACACACATTTGTCGAATAAAAAGATTAAAAAAATACACACATTTGTCGATTAAAAAGTTACACACATTTTTCGATTACAAAGAAACACACATTTGTATACAAATACATCAGTAGGACACAAAGTGAGTAGGAGGAAGATATGTATACTCAATCGGCAATTCTAAAATGAGAGAAATTGCAATTATATGCAAAACGCGCCACGAACTATTATTATGCTTTTCGGTAAAGATTGATTTCATTCAAATAGAATCAATCAATATATATTTATGAAATAGTTTTTACACTTCATGAATTTTTACACTTCATAAAATGAATTTTTACACCTACTAACAGGTAGGTTTTTGTGTTAGCGATTCCAGACAAACTGGCAATTTAGGAGTGGAACAAGATCACAAATTTTGGTATTCTTAAAAGATAATTAGGATTTTTAATTTTGAAAGTATATTATCTTTAATGCCTTGTTTGGAAGATGAGATACCTTTGTAACAGCTTGCTTTTGGGATTGTCTCCTTGTTTGACAAGCATATCGAGTATGAGAGCCAAAATGGGCATAGTATATATTTAAGAGTGTTTTTTGATTGACGTAATGTCTTTAGCCAGCATTTCACTCGATCAGCCTAATTTCATGTTTTATTTTTTAACATAGGACAGAAACAAAAGATTTTTATCCCATCAGGAGTTAATTTAAGCCATAATAACACCTGTGCCATAAAAATTAATTAGCAATAATTAATTAAATAATCAGAGTTTGGTATTAAATTAAAGCTCTTATCTTATATAAAGTAGTATATAAATTTTCTGATTATTTTTTGTCTAGATATCAATTTAAAATGCCAAATCATCAAACCCTAAAAATTCGTGTGTACGATTTTTATTAAAAAAAGCATAAAGATGGAAAACACGTTATTTGGATCCATTTCAAGTTTAAAAGCTACTCAAAAGCTACAATTTATAAATATATAAACAATTAAAATCAAAATAAATCATTGAGTGACTCAATTATTGAGTCGGAAATCTGGAAGTAGAGGAAAGCCTTATTTTAGTATACATAACAACGGTACTAAATTAAGGAAGATGTTTAACCATCAAAGAAGTGTGTCACCGAAAATGCGGTCAACTTTATTCAAAATATCGTGACCAATATATTATTGACAATGAGTCTTATTTTACTTTGTTGAACAGCACACTGGCTGGTAATAATACATACTATTCAAATTATCAAATTTGACACCAGACATTGTTAAGTATTATGATGTTACCAAATTAGAAAAAAAGTTTAGTGGTATGGATGGTACGAGGGGTCGCATCAATTTACATTGTTCTATTTATTTTGCCGTTGAAAAATATTACAAAAAAGAAATTACAGTAAAAGAAAATCCTGGCCGGAGCAAGAAGATGACAGGTCCCGTCAGCACAAAAATTTACTTGCACAATAAATGATAAAAGACAAAAAGACAGTATAAATACAAAAACAAAAACAAATCAAAAACTTCAGCAATAAAATAATTTGTTGCTAACAATCTTCCAGCAGAATAATTTTAAAAATAAAAAGTAAAAACGATAGAAAATCATAAAAATTATAAAAACTCAAAAAAAAAAAAATGCGTAATTAAAAAAATATATTCTTTCTAGCCAAGCGATAAACTTAAAGATCTATTACAAGAGTTTAAAGAAGCGCTTGCAACCTTTTATTAATAAATATTATTGAAATACTAATTACATCTTTTGGCTCAACTTGGCTACATCTCACGATGCTAATTTGGTAACACGTTACCAAATGAAACACTAACTTTGTCAAATAAAACAATTAAAGAAGTTGTTGAAGCTTATTATGAAACATTATTATTATTATTATTATTGCTATTATTATTATTATTATTATTATTGCTATTATTATTATTATTATTATTATTATTTGAATTTAAAATATGCAAGTTTGTAAATAAACATTTAAAAAATATTTAATGCCTTTCAGAAATAATGTTAAATTGTGTATTAAAAACTTTTTTAAAATGTTTAGAGAGCTAGTTTATCCAAGGACGTAAAATAAGATCTTATTTTTAAAACCTTTGATAAAAGGAATGAAAAAGAGCCAAAGATTTTGGTTCAAAAGAGTAGTTAAAGATTTTTTTTTTAATTTTTTTTTTACATAAAACTCCGTTGCAAGTTTTTTTTTTTTAACGTTTTTACGCCTCTATTATGCAACATTACCCCCAATAACTTAATAACGGTAGGGTTGACAGCTTTTCAATGAAGGATTTTCAATAAAAAGGTTCATTAATACTACAATTAATACTGATAGCATTGTGACCAATGATAGTAATAGATATCAATGTCATCAAATCGTAATGATAGTAATAGATAGATATCAATATCATCAAATAGATATCAATGTCATCAAATCGTAATGATAGTAATAGATATCAATGTCATCAATGTCAACAAATATTTTTATTACAAGATTATGTAACTCTGAAACAGACTTAAAAAAGCGTGGCGCAGAATTTGGCTGAATAAAACGTTTCCATAGAGTTGTTTTGAAACTTGTAACGTGAGATAACGTGAGATAACGTGAGATAACTTGAGATAACGTGAGATAACGTGAGATACTGCGACTTTGGATGTCTTGTTTTTACACATTTTTTGTTATCACCCAATTTTCGAGAAATTCAGTTGATAACAATTTTATTAGCCTAATTTTTAACCTCTATTTCGGCCCTCTAGCTTACCACCTATACTGCTTGTGGCTAAAAACGACACTGCTTTTCGTAGTACATTGAGAGTACATATTAGATATCATAGTACAGGGTGACATTAGGTATGATGAGATAATTTTGGTCAAATGTAAAAAAGTGTTTTTATCAATTCTTAATGAATCTTTTTGAACTAGTTTTTTTATGTTTTAAAAAGAGTGTTTCATGATAGACAAAATTTTTTTTTTCAATATTTTATTTGTACGCTTTTATTTATATTGATTGCGAACTTTTATTGATTGCGTACCTTAAATAGTACTTTAAAAAAATTACACATTTTTAATTCTACACAACATTTCCCGTTGTACGTACTGCAGGCTTCTATACCTTAGTTTTTCTGTTTAATTCATCTCGCTAATGAATGGGGAATTCGGCTTGTTTGAAAATTGTTGCTCTGCTATTTCTATTTAGCAATTTTAAAAGCGTACACTAAAAGTTAATAAAACGATATAAAAATGAAATCCAATTAGTCTTAACTCAAAGGCGCCTTCGGTTAAGTTTGTTAGTGTATTTATAGACTTTCTCATATTCAATAAAAACGTTTTATAAAGCCGGTTTTATGTAGAGGCTACGAGTTAATTATGGTATCAACGAAAGTAAGGTCTCAGCAACCAGAAAAAATGAAAGAAAAAGCAGAAAAACATTCCTTGAAAATTAAAATACTGAAAAGCCATACAAATTTATACGTTAACCATTATTTATTATTTACGGATGATTAGTTCGTTCATAATTATTTTGATTGGGCACCACCAAATGGCTGTAATTAGATTACTAAGTAATACTAGCAACGTTAAAATTTTAAACTGTAATAATATTTACACCTATACGTCGTTTCATAAAAATTAACTTTGTAAATACAATAAAAATTGTTATTTTTAGACAGATTACATTTTTGATTGGTACATTCCCTTGTTTTGTAATGATAATTACGTTTTCTTTTTTTTAACCGTTATTAAAAAATCTCAGTTTATTTGTTTCAGAGATAAATTCTGTCTGTTGTTTTCCGACAGATTACTATTATTTACTAAAAACACTACAATTTTTTTTTGTCAATAGTTATGTTTTTCATTTTCCGAAAATTTAAGTTTTTTTTTTCCTGATAAATGAGGTGCTTTAATAAGGTCTTATATTTTGTGAGATTCCACCAGAATTTCTTAGTTAAAGCCTAGCAAGACAATGCCATTTGCTTTTGGAAAACCGCAACTATGTCATAAATTTTTAACAACTATGTCATACTAACAACTATGTCATAAATTTTTTTTTTTTGCAAACTAATATAAGAAATGGTTGAAAACTAAATTAAAAGCTGCGCAAAACAGTAAGAGTCTTAGACCGTTAATTTTACATCTAAATGTTTCAAAAATTTTCTAATCAAAGTTCATGAAAACTCTGTCCTTTCACCAGGTATTTAACAGTTTTCTGTTTTCTTTACTATCACATTTTACATCCAAATCCTAAAATATTTTTAAAGCAAATACCACATTTTAATATTTTAATATTTTAAAGCGAAACTATTTTGAATATTCTAACAAAAAGCCGAAATAAAAAAAAAAATGATTAAGAAGCGACATCAAAATAAATATTTTAAAACTTTTTTTTTAATTATTTTAAAAAACAACTATTCGATAAGTGACTCAGAAACGGAGGTGTATAGGATTAGTTGCCAACAGTCAAATAATAAGTCGAGTAAAAAGGTTTTTATAATTGTGCGCACACAAGGAGTTTTTTCAAATTACCAAGGTTGGTTTCAAATAGCTGTCGAAACTTCGTTTAGGAATTGCGCAACAATAAAGATTAAATGAGAAAATAATGTATTTATTTTCTCATTTAATGTATTTATTTTCTCATTTAATGTATTTATTTTCTCATTTAATTATTTTTCAACGACAATTTATCTTAAACAAAATCGTACAACTTTTGAACACTATTTATATAACTATTTGGAAAACCTTTTGAACAAATAACTTTTCGACGTTCGACGTTCTTTACTTTCAATTTATCGAGACAATGAATGTATGAATGAATGGATTTTCAAGAAATTAAATTGTTTTTAAATAGTTTCATTTTTTTTTAGGGAGAAAAAAAAAGTAAATCTTCTTTTATATAAATTTTTGATAAAACCAATCCTTGATAAATTAATGCTTTAATAAAAAATAAATTAAATAACTTTTATGCAAACTCTAAATAAAATTAAACCTAATATCTCGCACAGTATTCCAAATAAACTTATTTTTCGATGGTTTTTATGTTGTTATCAACCAATTCCAATTGAGAATAGTTCTTGCATGCATGATAAACTAACATTCTATCGTTCTTCCATCTTTCAGCCATCGAATAACGTCTTTGACCATTGTTCTCGCCTTTGATCAAAGGGCAACTGTTAATTAGTTCATAAGAATCTTTAGCAAGATCTTGTTCTGACAGTTTTTGATTATCATTTATTTTAAATGTTTGAAAAATGTGTTCAAGTTTAAATCGAGCTTTTTTCTTTCTTTCATTACACACGACTTGGTTTCCGGCAGAGACTATTGCAAGCATCATACGATGGTCTCTTGTAATAGAATTTGGTAAACAAAAGTCCATTTTAGCTTGATCAGCAGTTAGGTTGTTATTTCGAAACTTAAACTTTTGCGCCTCCAAACCTTTTTTTTCATCAATTTTGAAATCTTTTATCAAACGATCTACCATATTAAATTTTTCTAACTGTTGAAAAAAGCTAAAAAAAATTACAAACTGTTAAAAGAGGCGCTGTTTTTCCATTTAAAGTAGATGTAATTATTATTTTAGTTTTCAAAAAATAGTACTTTTATAAATGAATTAAAGTTTTAGTGGTAAACCAGTTTAAAAACTGTTTAATACCATTACTAATATAAAGAAGTCTTCAAATCACGTGGTGTAGTGTTTAAACCTCAATCGGAAATGTTTACGATTTTTATCTATTCTAAAACATCAAAAACTCTTATCTCTAAAATCGGGTTAAAGGCGTCAGTATATTTTTGTGAAAAAAACATATATCCCATCTTAAGTTCCATCACTGTTAACTAGTTGACAGTAAGTAGTTAATTTAAACTAAGTTAAACTAAGCAAATACATGGGTACAAACTTGCCATAGAACGTTCAATGCGTAATAATAATAAATAAAAACTTTGTAAAAAACTAAAAGTACGTAGAGTCGTGTGTTTATGCATTCCTTCGATGTAAACAAAGTTTTCACTAGTAAAATGATCAACTGATTAATTCAATCTTTTTTGGATGTTGCGAGTTGTATTAATTAGATCACAAAATAATTTATTCTATAAACGAGGTATTCTGAAAGTAATTCTAGATAATATATTATAATAACCGATAACTTTTAAATTCAAATTTTTTGAATTTAAAAGTTATCGGTTTGAGCAACTTGCTAAAGATAGCACAATTGTTTTACTCTTTATACAACGTTACGAAAGCTCTTTTCCGCCACTAAATATTTTATACACACTAGGTTTAAAGATTATTTATCCGAGATTTTTGGTTCTCCTGAAAAATAACTTTTAGACATAAGTGAAGACGAAAAATTGTTTTAAGTTGATGTGTAGATGAGAATAATACGTTTGTCAAACATCAAAACATGTTTTCAGCTATCAGGCATACAATTCTAATGCTTGCAGTAAAAACCAAGCAGCTTTTCCCAGCAAGCACAAAACGTTTTTAAAACGTTAAAAAAACTTATTAAAACGAATATTAACGTTTTTTAAACGTTTTAAAAACAATCTGTGCTTACTAGGTAAATGTTTCTTTTTTCCTGTATTTTTGGTTGAAATGGAAAACTTACAACAGATTATTTGACTAAATTGAGAAAAAGAGTTTTTAGTATGACAACAGAATAGGTCAGAAATTTTGCATTTGAATTAGCAGAAATGAATGTTTCATATAACATTGGTACGATAGAATGTTATATTGAACATCGTTCGTTTCTGCAAATTTAAATGCAAAATATTTGAGTCATACTAAAAATTGTTTTACTCAATTTAATTAAATAATAATAGTTTTCCATTTCAACCAAAAATACAGAACAAAACTTCTCATTTCTAATTAGGTTGTCTTATTATGCTACAATGTTGGACAGCATTGTTTGATATAAACAATATTGGTTGAATGAACCACTAGTTTTGATCGGTTAATGAACCTCTGGTTTTGATAAATTGAATAAACCTCTGATTTAGATGAATTAAATAAATTTTAAAAAATCACTAGAAGATTTTATTATCAAAAGCTTTAATATAAAGAATAATAATAAATTCTTTCATTTATATGTACATTAAGTTAATAAAAGTAAATATAAGTAAATATAGAGAATTTTAGTTATCGTCATTCAAATATGTTGGCAATCTCTGTTAAATATAAAAGAATAAAAGAAAAAAAAAAGGAATAAAAGAAAACAAAGACAAGCAAAAATATAAAAATTACGGTATTCAATGTTTGATTAGATATAACCTTTTATCTAATTTAAAAACTTTATTTTTTATGAAAAACTTGAAGAATTTTAACGACTTTACCATATTTAAATTATTTATTTTTTTGTAAAGTGGTTCATAGTTTTGGTCTATATTATTCCATTCAAAAAAAGGTCATTTTTTTTTTACATTGAGTGAAAGTTTATAAACCTTAAACCATTCATTGAAATTCCATCATTCAAAATTCATGTCAAAAAAAAGCTGCTTGACGCCTCTGCTTAAAAGAAAAAGATAATGCAATGCTAGAAAATATTCTTTGTCTTTGCTGTATTCTTGAAACTATTTAAATATGTACAGGAGTGGACCAAGAATTGACTCTTGTAGAACTCCACACATAAGATTTAGTTCTTCTGGGCCTTTAAAATCCACTTTTTTCTTTCATTGAGCTTTTTATTTAATCATAAGTTTTATTTATTTCTCCACAGTTATTATTACATACAGTTTTATTTATATAGTTTTATTTCCATAGTTATTTATTACTCCACATACAGTTTTATTTTTCTTAAACAAAGAGATGATCAACCGTATCAATGGTTCACTACATGCTTTGAGCAAATAAAAAACTGCTTTTAGCAAAATGTTTATAATTTTTATGATAACTTACACGTTCAAATAATTTTAGGAATACAGAAAGTACTATAGTTAAAGATATCTGATTGATTATAACTTTTATAAATTGAATATACCTTTTCCAGTTTTTGAATAATTTTTTTATTTTAGCTCATGTTAATTCATATGAACACGTTTCGTAGAAGATATTATAAAGTTTGTTCACAGTCATGGCTTAAACTTGAAGTTATTTCAAAAACTTCGATCAACCATTTTTTAATCTTTATTAATCACTGATTAATAAGGATTAAAAAAGAAGTCTTTAATGTTGCCATTTTTTAACACAAATTGAGTTAGTATACTATCTTTTTGCTTTAGAGTTAACAGATTGTAAATCAAAATGAATATGAGACAACAGAGGCAACTTGTTCATCTTTTAAAATTGTAACTGGCTGCGCAAGAGAAACAAAAAAAAGTAAAAAAGCAAAGTATAAAAAAAAAACAGTTCAAGCTAGAAAAGACCAACTTAAATTAAAGTAAAAAAATAAATAAATAAAGTAATAGAGTTGGTAAAGAAAGAGAATAAAAAACCACAAACTTAAATTAAAAAGTAAAATTAATGAAATTCAAAAACTCACGTGTTGCTTATTTGTTATATTATAAACTTTACTTGTAATGTAGACCTTAGTGCTTATTCATAGTTTTCTATAAATGACAGTACTTTGTTGAGCATAATTTGTATCATTTTGTTATTGTTTTGAAATTTACTTTGATCTTAATTTATATTGAAATTTTATCTTATATTGTTTAAAGGAAAAGTTAGGGGAACAATTCTTCCTCAATCTTTAATGATATAAGCTCAAAAGATGCTAAGCTCCGAGTTTTGCCTGTATCAGATGATGAGAAGAGGTTTTGAGTCAACATCTAGAGATTATCTTGCCTCTAACTTGGCTTCTCCTTTGTAAAATATTAGCTTGGCTAATTTCTCCTTTGTAAAATATATGGTTTGGCTAAATAGTAATAATCACTTTTTCAAAAAAGTATTAATTATTTATTTCTAATTCCATAACTAACCTTTAACAGCTTATGTACCATCATTGTCTATGACTTTATACAACACATAGAAACTATAATTGCCATTGAATTCCTAAACTCTTTTGGATCAATAAAGTGATTGAGGTATAAGTAAAGCAAATGACGCAATACTTCTTAGTCAAGCTCCGATAATTTTTGACATGTCAATTTCGCAATCCCACCAAATTTAAAGTAAAATCATTTTGGTTGAAAATTGACGTTTGGATTTTGGATTACAAGTAGACTTAAGAAGCAATAAAATAATGAAACAGTCTACTAGAGAAATAATAGTTGAGTAATTGCTGTCTAACGAACTCTTTCTAAGCACGGTTTGGCATTCCGTGGAACCACTGAGAATTTTGGGATGCCAAACATTGGCAAATTACTTAGAAGAACAGAATCCCAGAACTGGTAACAAAGTTCCACCTATATTTATCTCCTAAAAACGATTTTCATAATGAGGAATAAGGTTCAAAAATGCATTCTGCCTGAGATAAAACCGGCACAATAATTCTCTCTGTCTATAGATTCAACCTCAAACAGATTGTATGTAATGTTGCTTTGTTGTATGTGTCACCGGCTAACGGAGTACTAGTGGAATACCTCCTGATTTCTTTTTGCAATAGTAAATCACTTTGAAGAAAGTATTGCCACATTCGTTTTAATCTCAGCAATGGTTGCAAACATAACTTTAATTATCATAGTCAATCTTATGACAATCCTGCAAATATTTAGGGGTGCTACAATGAGATGCAAGAAATCATCTCGAAATAAAACCCATTTGTCTGGTTCAAAACATGTGTAGCTGCTTTTCGGCCTTTTATTGGTCTACTCTCTACAATTCTACAAGTAAAGTGTACAAGTAAGTATCAGAGTGTATAAAAACATGGTCTTTGATTTAATTTCATTACGCAACTTGACATAATTATAAAAAATCGCGAAAATTGTTAAATCTTTGCGTTATACGTTTAGTAACGCAATTATTGCGTTATAACACAATAATTTGTATATTGTTTTGTTAAATATAACTGTTTAATTGTTAAATAAATTGATAATGTTCAATAAATATAACTGTATAATTGTTGCATAAATTGTTTTGTGCCGTTACAAAACATGTAACGCAATAATTATTTTTAAGGTAAAATTTGCTTTAAGTAACAAAATGTTGGGTTTATATTTTTATAGAGGACATCAATATATATTTAGCTTAAGACCTCAAAAACGCTTAGATTCTCCCTAATTGTATCATATTATATTTCGTTTGTGATTATTTTTAGGAATTAATTTCATGCTTAGTTTGTATATCACCTTTAGGGGTATCTAGATTATCTTAATGCATCTTTATAAAGAGGAGTTGATTTATTGAAAATGGCTTTATTTAATCATGTGACTGACACTCAATTTAAAGTTAAATAAATATAATCATCAATTTTGAAATTGCAACAAAAATATAAGGAATGTTAATCTTAAAGGTTAGAACAAGTGTTTTTTTTTTATTTTCCTCGTTTGCTTTTGTTTTTAAAAATAGCTAAAAAAACACCTCAATATAGGCCAAAATCATTCTTGTAAAAAAAAAGTTGATGTAAAAAAAATGTCAAGTAATTTACAAATTTTTGCGCCATCACACGCTCCCATGGGTACGTGAGGTAATATTTTCATTAACTGAATGTTAATGAAACTAGGGTGTGTGAACTATTTAAAGTTATTGAACTATCAAAATAAATACGCGAGTAAAAAAAAACTAACCTAATCTATAATTTTGAATTTCTTCTCTCCGCATTTGATACCGGTGATTTATCTTCCGTACGTCTACTTTAATTAAAGATACCTGAACTCATTGTACTGTAGTTTATATTTTTTAAAGATTTTTTATCATTTTTAATTTTGTTTTCCTTTTATGTAGGAGTGTATACTAAACTACCAGACGCTTAATTATACTTAGTAAAAAAAAAATTAAAAACTAAATGTACTTGACAACTATGAGCGTAAACTCGTTTAATCTAGGCACAAGCATGCTCTTCTTGTTAAACGTGTTACCTATAAGCATGAAACTTTAGGTTCCGTAAAAAAATTGTTTTCTCCACGTTTTAATTAAACATATATAAAACATCCTTGAAAAATCTAAAAAGAGAGAGAGAGAGAGAAAGAGGGAGAGAAAGAGAGAGAGAAAGAGAGAGAGAAAAAGGGAGAGAAAGAGAGAGAGAAAGAGAGAGAAAAAAAGGGAGAGAAAGAGAGAGAGAGAAAGAGAGAGAGAAAGAGGGAGAGAAAGAGAGAGAGAGAAAGAAGGAGAGAAAGAGAGAGAGAGAAAGAGAGAGAGAGAGAGAGAAAGAGAGAGAGAGAGAAAGAGAGAGAGAGAGAAAGAAAAAAAGAGAGAGAAAGAGAGAGACAGAGGAGATGTTAAAAACAACAATAAAGCACAATTGTGTATTAAACAAAACATTTGCATTTAATCTTTACTGACCAAAATAATATTGAATCAATCTGGGTTTGTAAAACTAAAGAACTTATTTAGAGTTCACCAAGGTTTAATATTTGGCTCTCCTATTTTTAATATTCATAAACAACTTATGTAATATATTTGCAAATCTAAATTAGCTGATGAATGCTGATGATTTGTTCTTATTAAATTGTGATATTTATCAGAAAGCTAATTTAAATAATCCACTTGTAGTTTTATCTAGGTTAATTGCAAATTATTAGCTCTGAACCAATTATTTACTTTCATCAGCTTTATAATTATGTTACATATAAACGTTTTTATGTGACATATTATTTCTTAGATTATACTATATTTATGTATCAAAGTACCATAATTGATAAATCAAAAAATTTTTTAACAGATTGCAGACATTTAAATAACCTTTTAGGACTGGAACTTAATTTGTAAACTTAATTTTCTTTGTTCCATGATCTAACCTAGGTAGCTTTGATCAATTTCTAATAGATATGTTTTATTAACGTGATTGACTATGAATCAAAACGTGTCGTTAGTTTCATTAATACTACTCGTAAAATTTCTAATGATTTTTTTATTAGAATTTTAGTGTTTTCCTTTTTAACAATCTAATTGTTTATCTTGAAGACCAAATATCTTCATTGTTTAAACTAATAGGTGACTGACGGTAAATTCTTGAACATATTGTTTAAACTAATAGGTGACTGACGGTAAATTCTTGAACAACACCTTAACTACACTGAGTAATAGCTGACTGACGGTAAATTCTTGAACAACACCTTAACTACACTGAGTAATAGCTGACTGACGGTAAATTCTTGAACAACACCTTAACTACACTGAGTAATAGCTGACTGACGGTAAATTCTTGAACAACACCTGAACTGCACTGAGTAATAGCTGACTGACGGTAAATTCTTGAACAACACCTTAACTACACTGAGTAATAGTTAAGCTATTTTTATTCCACCGCAAAATTATTTACGAAATGTAAACTTACATTCTTTTGTTTTGCTTTATTATTTTCATATTTTATCTACATTTAGATCTATATTTAAATTTTCAGATTGTTGTGCAAATCTTCAGATTGTTGCGATGGATTAAAAACAACCTATTGATTGCGCATTTATCCATTGGGTTGCTTAGATTGGTTGTTTTTGTTTAACATTAGTACAGACAACTTGACGCAATTTATTTGACTAATAATATTCGACTAATAATATAAACCCAGCATAGTTTGTAATACTTAGAGTCGCACCTAGGAATAGGAGAGTTTGCAACATTTTGTGCGTAAAATAGTAAAATGATATTACTCAAAAAAATAAAGTCAAAACTAAGTGAAAACTGTTCTATTTCAAAAGGATTTTAAATTAGAAAAAGTATTATTTTTGAAATTGGTTCCCATATCTATTAATTAAGATTTCACGATGCTTTTATATTAAGATTATAATAGATTAACATTGGCAGATCGGAATTTGAACTGGAATTTGACTGATTAAAAAAAAATACTATAGATTTTCAAATATGGTACATCAAAGGCTTTGACACAGTTTTTAAGTGAAAATGTATAAAGCTTGTTCTTAGAAAATATTCCTCTCCCCTAACCTCGCCTAACCGCCACGTTGTTTAAACTTGACTAAACAAGTTAAATTTCTTTTTAAATAACATTTTACTTTAAAATTTTTAAAACTAGTTTTATCAATAATCTTTTTTTTTTTAAAT